TAGGATACATGAACACAAAGAACCCAAATATAGACATACTCTAGTTTAATACACATACAAATTGAAATCTGACAGTCCTATCAGAGGTTGGATGACTGGTTACAAAAGATAAAAAATAAAATGCACACAGTGCACCCTTCATGACTGGAAGCCACTTTGTTCGCTGAGTGATTACCATTGATCCCTGGCACAAGCAGCTCTACCTAATTCTGTTACGATCACCATGACCAGCACTTTCATAGCTATCTTCTCTGAAGTCAATTCACAGGGGAAAATGCTGAAAAAAAACCCCACTTGAAATTATATAAGGGCTAAAATCCCACTTTTAAGACTGAAATGTTCTGCCTTGTAAGCCCCCCCAGATGTAATTGAAGCACCACCTTGGCAGAAGAAATGGCAGCACAGGTGACATAACATCTCTTTACTTTTCGCCATTCACATCCCAGCAAAAGTTGTGAGTGTAATACAAACCAGTGACCATCAGTGCTGGTCTGAGTAACGTGAAACTCTCTGAAGCCATCTGCTTTAGTGCATGTGCCTGGAAGCCCTTTGGATATTCACTCACTTCTGTGGTTTGAAAATTTTGGCCTCTAATTCTTTATCAACTCAACTTTCAAAAGCAATGGTCACTTAATAAACCATGTCCAAATGAGGTGGACTTACAGATGGTTCAACTGTTTTGAAAACTAAGTGATTCTAATTTCTAAATATGGCTATACAATCAAATATAATCTAGTAGTCATAGCTCTGCAATGAAATGCAGGAAACTTAGGTTCTGCTTCTGGTTCTGCCACTGGCCCACTGGCAAACTCTGTGTGAGTCTTTTCACCCTACACAAACTGGAACAATAAAAGAATTGCCTCAAAACCTGAGCAACATTATAAGTAGATGATTAATAGAGATATCTGACTGCAGGCGTTTGGCTTTGAAAATCTTGATCCAGTTTCTCATCCTGGAAAGGAAGAGAGAGTTATTCAATTTAAGAACTGTCAACTATTTATAGCTTTAGCTATTAAAAAAGAGGATTTTTTCAGAAATAGCAAGCCAGTAACCTCTTGCTGCCTCAACCACCTCCCATAGAAACAACTCCCAGGGTATCTGCAAAGTGTTCCAAGGCTGCTGGAGTGCATATTGTTCCATGTCTGCTTGCCAGTAAATTGCAAGACCACTTTTAGACACACAGTAGAGAGGAAAAAGGAAAAAAAATTCCAGGGATTTCACTTCAGTAGAGTTTCTATCACTGTTCTGTTAATCTTTTCTTTCCAAATAGGAGGATGATGTCCACGTCCAAGTGATTTACTTACATTTCTCTGTTATCCAGGCCATGCAACATGAAGACAATGGTGATTCACATACCGGAGGGGTAACTCACTTTGTCACAGGCACAGACTTGGAAATGAAAGCTACCACTTCTTTTATTTGCTATTGAAGATGAAAACTTCTTGCCAAGTTTTCCCAGTTGTTCCTCCCCAAATCTAGCTCACAGACGTCACTAACCAAAATGAACATACTTGAATATTTGCATTACTTTATGCAATCTATTTGTGCCTACTACACTCATATCACCTCTGCAAGTGCCCTCTCTTGAGCTGGTAGCAGGCCACCAATTAAATGAGCAGAAAAGCTGTATGGCTTCAATGGGACAGCAGAACTGCAACTTCATAGCGTTTAGGGCAGACTGAATACTATGCTCAGCTGTACTGCTGAGTCCTGCAGAGCTCTGCAACTGCAGAGTACTGCATCCACCTCTGGGTCCCCCAACATAAGAAGCACACAGGGCTGCTAGAGCGTGTCCAGAGGAGGGCCATGAAGATGATCAGAGGGCTGGAGCACCTCTCCTATGAAGACAGGCCAAGAGAGTTGGAATTATTCAGCCTGCACAAGAGAAGGCTCCCGGGAGACCTTATAGCAGCTTTCCAGTGCCTGAAGGGGGCCTACAAGAATGCTGGATAGGGACATTTTATAAGGGTATTTAGGAATTGGTCAAGGGGGAATGGGAATGGCTTTAAACTGAGAGAGGGTAGATTTAGATTAGATATTAGGAAGAAAGTCTTCACTATGCAGATGGTGAGACTACTAAATGAGTAGTTAATGAACAGAAACACACGGAAACCTGCTATTAAGGCCCTAACTTTCAATGTTTTGCTGCAGCTGAGGTAGGACACCAGGAATAAAATTCTTTCAGCTTGATTAAAATGTTCATGGCATTTCCCAAAGCAGATGCTGACAACTCTCATTGAGCTGGTCAAGCTCTGTAGAGGCTGTGGGAGACACTCAGTGTGGTGTTTTTATCCAAATCTTTATTCTCAAGCATAAGTGCAATCAAATCACAATGAAAGGGTCCCATTCAATTGCACAGATAAGCAAAACTTCTGGGGTTCGCTCAATCCCTTCAACAGCATGGCATTCTGCCAAAATCCTCTCTTCAGACAAAGACATGACTTCAGACGTGACTCCTTATTAGTAATCTTGTAACAGTGCTGAGAAGCCCTCACAGATGCTGCAGTCAGTCTAAACTGAACACATGGGGAGATAATCTGGGTGAAATATTTGTACCTTGAAGAGTTAAAGGAAAAGCAGTTTCTCAAATGTGCTAGAGATCCATTTCTTTCTAGCCCTTGATCTTTAAACTGTTCAGTTTATGTTTCCCAAGTCTTGTCACTGACTTCAATGGGCCCATCCTTAAACAGTAACACACTGCTTTCTTCTGACAACCAATTTACTGTCTCAGTGTCAGGAGAAAGCCAGTCAGAGCTCTGCACAAGATTGAATATGTTAGTATAGTCATTGGTAGAGAATACAGCTCACCATGAAGACATTTTTTCTGAAAACTAGGTCTCCCTTCAAAAAAAGTAAGTCCAAAGGGAGGTAAAGAGATTTACTCTCTTTTTGACTAACCAGTTAAGCCTAAGAAGGTTACACGTACACGAATAAATATATCTGTTGGTCTCTAACAATGAAATAATTAAGAACAATGATGGCATCTTATCTGGATAGACACAAATGAAAAGGTTTGGGGATGAAAGACTAACACTGCACTGTCTGAAAACTTTCATAGATGCAACTGAGTGAAAACTGAGAGTTTTCTCAAGAATCAGAAAGTGATCTGAGGTATGGTCCCAAAGACACGGTGTGATTAAGCTTTCTTTCATTAGAGGAGGCTCGTGAACAGACTTTTTCTTAGAGATGTGACCTGAAAGGTATGCTACATGCAAACAAGAAAATCTTTTCAGAAGAGGATCGTTTTGGTAGGATGGGGTAAAAACTTTTCTAATGTAAGCTAGATATAAATAGATGAAGCATTTTTGCCTTATATTTTTTGTCTGTATCTTGCAAAAGTGTTGCTAAGTGCGTTGCTGATTTTAATCGTTACAAATAAAAGTTCTTAGTGCATTTCCTCTTAACCTATCTTGACTTGTGCACAATTTAGACTAACTAACCTTTCCTTACTAAGGCCATGGCAACAGACCAGGTCACTAGTGTAACAGAACAAGCACCCAGTTAACCTGACACTGTTCAGGGCATGCAGGGAGAAATACAGCAAGCCATGAGCTCTACTACGTTGACTAGGTAGAAATCTGACACCACAAACATTAGGAGAAACAAATACCTTCCAGTAACCATTTGGAAGCAAGAAGGATGGAATCCAGCAAGATATTGCTTCAACTCCAAAGATCACAAAGAACACACCAGGGCACCCATATCACTTATCCTCCTTACCCATTCATGTTTCCTAGTAATGTCTGTAGAAATGTCAACACACCATGGTGTGATTCTCATAAGATTCTTTTTGAATAGCAGGACTGACTGCCTCACAAACTAGAGATCAGAAGGGAAGGAATAGAGCCCAATACACCCTCTAGCAGTGATGCTGGATCAGAGATGGTATGTATCTAATTTTTTGAGAAAAAGATTCAGAGAACATGCTATATAAAGACTGCCTTACTTTATTATACCACATAATTTTAAGGTTTTTAAGGCATATTCAACTTGAGATAACTTCAGCAGTAGGGAATAAGTTTGAGTTTTTTTACAGTAGAAAACAGGTTGCAGACATAAGCTGTGTATTTGCACTGTGACAGGGTATGGATTTATAATACAAAAAACATCATGTCTGCCTTAAAACACACCTTCCCTTGTAAGAGATGCTACAAAGATTCAGATGGATTGATTTAAATAATGATAAAATTATAAAAAGTATATGCAAAAATCTTGAATTATAAAAACTGTAACTTTGCTGCAGAAAACGGTAAAAGAAAAATTAACCTCCCTTGAATGGCAAGCTCTTAAATTGATTAAAAATAAATATGAACAAGAAACAGTATTTTCTAATTCCCCAGGTTCTAATCAGAACTCACCAGCAGTGGTATCCCATACAAATTCCATTTTCAATGCAGTTGCATTGGCTAATGTTGCAGTGACACCTTTCAGCTATACTGATACTCATAAATAATGATTCAATCCTCCAAAGCTATATACTTCCCGCAACAGGCAACAGTAAGTGGAGAAGGAAGTAAACAGTCAGATATGAATAATTATGTCTATTTTATTTGGACTGCTGTTAAAAAAGAATACACCAAAATGCATTGTATATGTTTGAAAACAATGTTACTCAAGTTAAACATTACCATAAAAGCCATTGTCTTACAAAGAAAGTGATTCACACTGGAAACAATTTGAAACTCAGTTTTACAAAGTTTGCATAAGAACTGCCTAGACAGGGCAAGAAATACACTCACTCACGTACTTAATGTGATAGAGGAGAAAATCAAAGCAATTACAAAAATGAAACATGAAGATATGTAGTAGATGCTGTTGAAATAAAAATACAGGATTTTAAGTATCACATAGACAAGGAACAGCTTTTTGACAAGTATGTACACATTTTATCAATAAGATAAACAAATAGGAACAGGATAATCTTAGTAACTATAAAGGAAAGAAATACTGCATCTATTTCACGTTCTAATTTCAGAGATAAGGATAGAAAATTGCCTTACCTCAAATACAGCTTGAAGAGAGACATTAACAATATGCCTACATCCTTTCTTAGTTCCCTTGATAGCAGTCTAAGAAGTAAGACAAAATAGCAAATAACTATCTTTCCTGCAGACATCATGTGCCCAAGAATAACATGCTTCCTAGTAAAGTGTGCAGAAATAAGTGAAAAAAAAAATTAAAAGTCGAAAAGAAAATCCTTGCAAAATAAAAAGGCAAAAACTTTAGATTTGAAATTCACAGTAAGGTTTATTGCATTTGGAGGGAGTTGAGGCATTCATGAATTAAATAAATAGATATAACTGTGACATCACCTCAATTCTCACTAAAATATTAATTTGGTATATTTGTCTACAAAAGAAAGAGTATAAATTCATCTGCACAGGACTCCGTCACTGAAGACCTGAAAAAATTCCTATTCCAGTAGTATTCACACATGGGCTCACAGAATACAACCTTGTTAACTTGCTTTTTTCCTCCCAAACTACAGTGCTTGCTAAAGCGACACTCAAATGTTAAATGCTTTAGTCAAGAGTTCAATCACTGACCTGCAATGAAAGCCTTGTGTTCAGCTCCAACATTTTCTAACAGCAAACAAGAAAAAAAATGGTTTAACGGAATGAACTGTTAAAAAAGAAAATCCTCACATAAGCTGTCCCCGAGGGGGAAGAAATATCCACAAGCTTTAAATTGGCCAGGCGGATTTAAGAGGAAGCAAAAAAAAAAAAAAGGAAGAAAAAAAAAAAGAAAAAAAAGGAGCTCTTTCTGTTGCGTCAAAGAGCCCACTGTGCAATAGGAACAGTGAACAGAGTTGTAAAACTGGCAAGCTTTTGCTGAAGACAGCTATTCAATATGCTCTCAGCATCGTCTCCCAGGGCTGGCTGGAGACAGTCCCACTCCTCTTCTATGAGCTATGCTCCTTCAAGAGGCAATCGCTCTTTAAGGACAGTTTCTATAAACATGCTGTTCAACTGGCGTGGCTGCACATGATGAGGGTAGTTGAGCACAGATACGTACCTGCATTCAAAGATCAGACTCGCGTGCTCTTGGGGAAAATGCAGGCACGTTTAAAGAAGCGACCATTACCTCGGCTTAAGAGCAGGATGTTATTGATGACTGATGGCTTGCTAAAACTCCCTTCCCTGCTTAGACCATTCAGTATGCTGTTGGAAAGCAATTTTGAAAGGCACAGTACTTACAGAGGGAACCTCTAATGTAATTCCATTGGGATGTTGTAGCCCAAGCAGTGCTCACTGATTAAAGGAAATCAGTAATCACATGCTGCTGACTAGCTTTGTGTTTAGTGCAAAGAGCTTGGATAGCCACCAGAGACTGCAGCTACGCCGGATGAGTTAACTGTCCCTCCTGGGAATGATGGCTCCATGACTGAAGACATCTTTAGGGGCTGAACCAGCTACCGTGAATGGAGTAAGGACATTGAGCAACCTGGTTAAATATTCATAAAGCCACATGCATCACCATATAGAGGAAATTACCACACAGATCTCTGCAGGCGAGGACACCACCCTGCATCCCCCGCATCCCTTTTACGAGCCATGGAGACCTAAGCAAAGGCATTCAGAGCACAGTTCAACCTACTCCAACCTGTGTTTGGTCCCCTGAATGGTCTTCTGGGCTTCACTGCCTACAGAGGGACCTACGGTGGCTTTCACAAAAGGAGGTTGCAGACAGTAACATTTTTTGAGATGAGTGCCACTCCAAGTGACAAGGCGATGAATGCCTGTGACATGTGCACAGAAAGAACTTGCAAGGAAGAATGGGATTTGTAAGAGACAGCAATAAAAAAGGGAAAACACAAACCGTGGAATGCACTTTTCAACGTGACTGTAGAATTAGAAGTGGGGACAAGCATATGTAGCTGGTTAATTTAGAATTTCTTTTCTGTTTATACATATTTCAGAGTTGCCACAGGGACATTGAGCTTGAATATGTGGGAAGGCAGCAGAAGGAAAGGAAGCATATCCAGGAGTTAAATTTTCCCTATTCATTTTCTTTCTCTACTTAGCAAACTTCTATATGGAAAAATTACTTCTTTAACAGTTTCTCTTGAAATCCTTCCAGGTGAAAATGAATTTCTCTCCTAAAAAGTATTTTCACAAATGTCAGAGTAAGTTTCTGCAAAAAGTAACTTCAACTTAGAAGTGAAATACAGCATTTTCTAAGTTTTTAACCTGTAAACTTAATGCAAAGTCCTATTTGTGCACCAAGCAGTATGCTGCTCGATTAAACTCTCACAACACCACACAGCTCAATGTGCCCAAAGCCCCAGCTGCAGTGTCACTGAAGTCATATGAGCGTAGCTTTGGTCATATTAGAGTACGGTGATTAATAATTCTGTCTGTGCTGCGTGGAAGATAATTACAATCCGGTTCAGTTTCCCAGATCTAAAAGCTAGGCAAGTACTTTAACAGATCTCATAATAATAATACCTGCTCATAAGACTACCTAAACGTTTCCCCCTATAAATGCTGACTCCCCACCACTCATTGCTGTCAAACTGCAGGCTGAAGGAAACTGGTGACATTTGCTCTTTTCTTGAAATGGATTTTTGGTTTATCTTAGTATCATAAAACAACAGTTATTTGCACTTTTGGGGACCCCTGGTGGCCTAGTGGTTAGCATGCAGGACTCTCACCTCTGCGACCCAGGTTCGAATCCAGCCAGTCCCCCGGGCAGATGGAGCCCGTTAGCCCTGTAAGGCCATCCATCTATGAGAAGGTCACTCTAAACAAACCTACGTCCTGAGGACCTCACTGCCATTGTCCAAGCTTGCTTGGCCCCGGCAGATGAACCTTAGGATTAAAGGGTGGGCTCAGTTCAGCGCAGGCTGTGTCTCACCTAAAAAATCCATTGCGCAGGCTGGAAAGGTAAAAAGACCTTTCCCCAAATCTTCGTTCGCGAAGACTGGCCATTATATATTATATTTGCACTTTAAGCAGGTGGCTAGACCAGATGATCTCCTGATGTGCCTTTCAACTTAAACTATTTTGATTCTGTAAAAATGAGGTCAATTATTAAAAGGTACCTTAGGCTGTTACAGAAATTAAGTGGATTGTGATCAACTCTAGTATTTTGAAGCCAGAATTTGGATTCAGCTGTCAAGACTATACACAACTCCAGAGTGGAAGATCTCCATTCTGTCATTTTGTGAGAAGCTACCAGATCTGCTGAAACATCAGCATTTGTGCCGTCATTGCCATCTACAAGGTCATTAACAGATATCACTCTGTGGAGAGGGCTATGTTGGTTTGCACATCCCCTGATGTTCCACTCTTGGATTCTCAGTGTCCTTTTGTTTTTCCCTTCCTGTCACCCAGTCATCCAATTTCAATCTACTGTCTTTCAGGCGCAAGGGACAAAGAAGACACTTGGTCTCAACCTCAAATTCTCAGTGACTGACAGCCCAGACAACTCATTTCAGTTGTAGAAATAGCTCTGCACAAAGCAAAGGGCACAGAATTGGGTAAAAACACCCTACAAAACAACCCTTCAGCATGATCACTGGTTTTTGTGTAGACTCCACCACACTGCTAGCTCAACACAGTCTCTCTTCTCAAAGGCCTCACTCATAAGACATTAAGGAGACTGATCCTGTTCAGTAATACACAAAGCTTTAGAAAAGAGAGTAGCGTCCTTGCTCCCCATGCCAGCCAGCAATTCCTCGTGCCCAGGCCTAAGGAATGGCAATCAATTCAAGCCCACAACATGCAGCACAGCAGTTATCCAAACCTTTGCACCTCCATATTATAGACAGCTTTTTTCCATACCACAAACTCAACCTACCTGCCCATAGGGCTTGTTGTTAATTCACTAGTTCTGTGTAAGTGACAACAGCCTATGGGGCCAAATCAGGAATGCCAACACAGAATGGATGCTATCTGCTGGGATTATACTGATCCAGAAACTTAAAAGGCGGTGAATGACATTCAAAACCCTCTGCTGCTGTTAAGTGCCAAACTAATGCCTGCTGGACGTTGGACGTTGTCTCATGGAGGCCCTCAGCAGTGGTGTGGAAGCACTTTGGAGCACCAAAGTCTGCAGCTCAGCCTTTGCACACCTCGTGTATCTGTGTCCCTGTGCTGCGTCAGCCACACCACCTGCATCCAGCATGCGTGTGATTGCTGTTACTCTCAGGCCTTCCTCAAGAAACGGGACAAGCTTCCCAGGGAAAAATCAACCTTCACAGGGTCGGATGACTCAATGCCTTGAGGTCAATGCTGCCTATTTCCTGCTACAGAAGGCTATAAAGCCTCTTCCTGAAAAACAAGGCTCATGTAGGCATTTCAGCTGAGTCCTCTATTCCTGCAGGAAGGAGGCTGTGTGCACTTCCAGTTGTCTGGCTAAAATATTGAGACCTTCAGCATGCCTTGCACTGTGGAAATCAAAACAGCACAATCTGGGCAAGAACTCAGGAAAGCCACTTTAGGTGGAGAGGAAGCTTCAGACCCTGATAGAACTAGCACAGCCCCACCACCATCTACAAGCTTGACCCCTGGAATGGGAGATGACCATGCAATGCCATTGGCACATCAGTGGTTCAGGTTTAGCGCAGCAACAGCTCTAAACAGAGCTCGGCTCAGCTAAAAACTATAGTTCATGTTCCAAGCACCTTCAAATACTACTCCTATGTCAGCTGATAGGGACACAGTGCCCATATTCTCAAAAACCACAGAACCACAGTGCTCCCCTTCCTCCCACCCACAAATGAAACATCGGTGGTGTTTCCTGCTTGCTCACTGACATCACTTGCCCTGGTCCCCTGCAATTCTGATCCTGCTGCCTGTCTTGTATCTATGAGAGGATCACAGAGCAGTTTTACTTCCTAAGTCCATGGAGTGGGCATCCTTAATGTCAGTCCTCTGTTATGTCTAACATCTTCCAAGCCTGAATGCTCCTCAGGTGGTTCCCACCTTCATTTATGCCCTCTTCAGACTTCTTCCCTCATGTCAAGCTACACTGTTTGTATGATGCAAAATTGGACTCTCAACTCCTCCTTTCCTGAAGGGGCTGAGAGGACTAGCAAACACTGTAGAAATAAATGCAGAAGCAGGGATTCAAAATCTCTGCAAGAAGCAGCAGAGTACTTTGTTTGAAAAAAACTCAGATTATTCACAGCTTTAAAAGAAAACACACAGTCACACACAGAAGGAAAAAATAAAATAAGAAAAAAAGGGTGTTCCTTATTCACTGGAGGTATTCCCCTTTGCCTGGTGGATTAAATACAGCTACATCTTGCTTTCAGGACACCTTGTGAAACTGGTTCAAAAACTGCTGTCCCTCTGCCTAACTGGTGTCTTAGGGGTGATTCTGCACCAGCAATTTTTCAAGGGACTGCTCACACACCCATTCATTTTCAAAAGTAACTTTTGTAACCCCCTGCCATCCATTTCACTTTTGCAGCATCATCCTGATCCTGGCCTCATAGACAGCATATGGGGAACCCCAAACAGCCCATCAATCCTTGCTGGGCAGTTTCTAAAGAGACAGAATGCACAACTTTTTTACCATATTCAGCCCCACAGTGTAAAACTCCTAATTTTTTTTTTAATCAAATTTGGCTATATGCATCTGCACAAGTACATAGGGAAGAGCTCGAAACAGACCCACACACACCAGGCAGTGATTAACACTGCTGTACTTGCAAGGA